TTGGAGATCTGTGAACAACACCTAATTTTTGGAAACAAGCTTCTGTTAGTTGTAACCATCATCCTGCCAGTGGTTGTGTCAATATTTAGAAGTCTTAAAGACAAGAATTGTAGGACTTGTTTTTCGGTGGAACTGCAGGTGAGAGTTCAGTGCAGAACCCCAAGGTGTATGAGCTCAGGTGTAGTCACACTGCTTATGGAACAAAGCCTCTGTTTCCCAAGGCTTTGAAAATGTTTTTTCTGGATTGAAACTGGCAGCACATTGCAAAAGGCAAATCATCTGAGCCACTCCAAACCTGTTCAGTGGAGTGAGGCAGCAGCCTTGTGAGTGAACCTGACACATCCCAGCCTGCTCCTCAGCTCCTTGAGATCATTTGCTTCTGCCCCACTCTTGGAATTGAATGGAAAGAGTACACAAGCTGCTGCTTTAGTGGTTTTTCAGAAGCCACTAAAGATTCCTTTTGGGAATCACTGGCCTATGCTGGTTTATTTAACAAGTGCTGAGCTGCAGTGAGAAAAGACCTAAACTGGTGAATCAGCAGTCTCAGGGATCCCTGTGCCAGACTCAGAATCTGTGTTTCAGAGGAAAGGTTCACTCATTTGTTCTACCCACAAGTGTGTTTGAAAGTACAGTCGAGAGCCTGATTCTGGTAGAAATGCACCCATTATGCAGGTGGTTTTCAAACCTAAGCAGGTACCTTGGCTGCTGAGCTGAAGGGTCTTCCCTTGCTGCTTTGGGTCAGTGTTTGATGGAGCCCCTGCTCATGAATCTGGCACAAGGGCCCTGTGTGCTTCCCTGTGCCTGCTGGCATTCCTGCTGGGGAGCTGCACACACTGCAGTAAGAGCCCTGTCCCATTCCAGTGATGACTGGAAGTTCCACTGTGCTGAATGCACAGGTGTAAACCTGCCTTGAGTGAATGTTCCTCTCCCAACAAGGCCAACAAGTGTGATGGGATCAGGATCTGAGCACATGTGTGTTAAATCTTTGGGGAGTTAGCCCAGCTGACAGTTTCTGTCCTTCCACAAACAGTTTTTATAAGATTCTGCTAAAACTCTGCATCTCACTTTAGGATACTTACAGCTCCCTATCTGGACAATGAACACATGCTGTCAGATTAAGGAACATTATTTTGAGATTTAAGGGGAAGATTAGAGGGTGTTGACTGTAGAGAATAATTCTTGATGGTAGAAAACATACACAATGGCATTTTATGAGAAGGACTGGCACTAACTGTATGTAAGTGTAGGAGACTGAAAAATAATAGTTCATTAGAAATAAATTTAAAATTTTTCAATATGACTTTTACATAGAGGACCTATGTTGACTTTCTAGGGCATTTACCTTGTAGATACCTTCCAAGTACAGAGTAATAATTAAGACAAAAATTAAAAGCACTACTTCTTAGCAAGTAATCGGTCCTCAGTTTGTTGCAATTCTAAGTTAATTTAACCCTGAAGTTTGTTGGAAAGACTGTAGGAAAAGCAAAATTTTTGTATTTCTGGACATTGGTAATAACTTTGTATGTATTAATTTTGGCTACTTCTGGGTTTGCATTGCTGAACTTTTAAAATGATCCTTTATCTCTTTCTCTAGTGGTATGTCTGCAACACTGAACAGTTGTCTGAATCCCTTCAGCCCATTTTTGTTCAGAGTTACCTTGACCAAGGAACACAGATCTTCTTAAACAACAGCATTGAGAAGTCAGGCTGGCTGTTTATCCAGCTCTATCACTCTTTTGTGTCCTCTATTTTTAGCCTTTTTATGTCTAGAACATCTATCAACGGGTAAGTGAAAAGTCAATCTTGGATAAGCTAAATACAGTTTAGATTTAGAGTTTTCAAGTGTCCAGCCCTACCCCTTGATCTGCCAGCTTTTCAAAATGTGTAATTTCCCTTTGCTGCTCAGTCAGATGTGAAATGCCCTCCTGTGTTCATCACACTCAGCCCTCTTAACTGGTGAACACCATTTCCAGTATGGGGGGGACAGAGGAGGTAATTGCAATTAATAAAAGACAGAGGATTCTAATTGTGTTTTATAACAGTTACATGTATTAATTTTCTTCTAAGAGAGTGTTCTCTTTGTGTCTCTTCCCTTAGCTTTCTTCCCCCCCTCCCACCTTGCCCTTTCCCTACTGCCACATTTTTATCAAGTTACTGTTGTGGTTGTGCTGGTTGGTGGCTGGATCCAGACAGTTCTGTATTGTACCTAAAACTCTTCCTGCTGGAGAGTGTTTGCCTGCCCACAGCAAATCATGGCACGTCTCTAAACAGTGCAAAGCTGGCCAAGTGTTGTGTCTGATAACACTAATGTGGAATGTTGTCCTTTCTCTTATTCTCCAAAACAATTCCACCTCGATTTGTGTGTAAGCTGCACTGGAACAGGTAACTTCTGATGAACTATCAACAGGAAACCATAAGCAGGACCCAAAGCAGGAAAACAGAAGATGATAGAATGGCATTCTTTTATTGCATCAGTTGCAGGGGAGTTTGGCTGTTCATGGTGCTTTAGTGGTTTTTTTGCTCACCTTACTCCATTCAGACATGCTTAACAACTATCAGCTTTGACCTTATGAAATATACATTTTGTTACATTTAGCCTATTTCTCCAGTATCCCCACCTCTGCACCTGCTACATACTTCTGCACAGTCTGATACAAGATAGCAGCTGTCTGCTGAGGCTGGAAAAATAGTCTTTTTCCTTATTTTCTACCCAGATGACTTTATGAGCTTCCCTGTGGTGTTCCTAGTTACGTGTAGCTTTATATAAAGGTTCCTTTGGTCTCTTCTTCCTTTCTCTTCCATTTTTTTTTCAAAGGCTCTTCAGGGCTTTGAATAACACCTCATAATGCTGTTAGGAATAATAGCTATGAGCCAATTACACAGTGTGGACTGACACGTGTGCAGCAAGGGGGCTCTACTTAAATTGAATGTAGTCTGTTTATTTTTATACATTTGATATCCTGCTTAGTTTCTTCTCTATGACTTTGTATACTCTGTCCTTTTGTTTCTTTGGGTTTTATTAGTCAGTCTTTCCTAGACCAGCTCCTTTTCACATTTTTTATTCTTTGAGTCTTTTTGTCTCTGTTTACCTTTTTTTCCAGTTTGTTTTTTTTTCCTGTTCATTGTCTTTAAGTTTAACCTGCTATCCAACAGGAGTTTAAAGAACAGTATTTATCTACCTGCAGTCTATTACTGACCAGTTCTTCTTCCTCTGCCTGTTCTTCTAACTGTTTCATCATTGAATTCTGCTATGACAGCTGAATTGTGTCACTATGTAGTCTTCAAACAGTTGTGGGCGGGTATGGCATTGACTTGATCCATAAGAAATCCAGCTGTCACCTCTACCCAATTCCTTAATGAGTTGTCTATTTTCTATTCCACAGCTTTTCATGTTGAATGCAGGATCTGCAGATAGCAGCAAAAGCCATTGTAACACAGAATTTTAAAAATCTCTTTCGCCCTTCCAGCAGCGTTACCCCCATGCTTTCTTTAAATCTGTTCCCTGTCTTCCCTCCTCATTCCACATCCTATTCCTCATTCATTGTACATACTTCTGTGTCTGCAGCCGTTTTATTTCCTCTGTTATTTCATCTTGGGTTTGTTTTTTTTTAAAGGTAGGTGGCAGAGATTCAAATCTGCAGATGTGACAAATAAGGTTCAGTCTTTATCTTTCCTACTCTTTCTCTTCCCTTTTTCTCTTTTTTTTTTTTTTTTTTAATGTGCTGACCAAGGGGAGTAAAAGTGCTCAACAATTCTATGGGAAAAGTAGAGGGGACAGTGTTTTTTTTTTAATGCAATCATTTTCTTGAGCTGCACCCCGTGAGCACTTCCTTACCTAATCAAATTCCTTCTGGAGTCTTAACCACTGTAACTGCATGTGGCTCTGTGTTTGATCTCTTACAAGTGCAAGGCAAGTTGAACTGGATTTAAAATTTATCTGAGCAGTGACCTTGTCTACTATTATGTGTGACTGGTTCCTGCCAAAGCACATTGTAAATTTCTTCACTGCCTGTCCTGTTAAAGTTTGTATAAAATTGGTAATTTCTTGTTTTTACATTTTAGGCTGCTGGGAAGGGGCTCAATGTTTGTGTTTTCCCCAGAACAATTTCAAAGACTGCTTAAAATAAATCCTGAATGGAAATCCCACAGACTTCTCGATTTAGGGGCTGGAGATGGAGAAGTCACTAAAGTTATGAGTCCTCACTTTGAAGAAATCTATGCCACTGAATTGTCTGAAACTATGATATGGCAGCTTCAGAAGAAGAAATACAGGTATCAACTGAATAATTCCTACATCCTTTATATCAGACATTACAGCAAAGTAATCTATTTGTAATTTAATGAATGTTCAGTATTTTCAGTCAATTCCTTTATTGTTTGATTGTTATGGAAAAGGTTAGCCTGTACAAACGCAGAAAAAACAAACAAATGTGATGATCCCTCTTACCAGTGTTGTTTTTTGTCTCCTTTATTACCCGATGTTTATCAGGCAGTATAAGGGTTCATAGACCTGGACATGTAGCCATGCTGATCATTGATTTAGTTTTCTTTTCCAAAAGACCAGAAGGGATTGTTTTGTCTCTTCTCGAAATGATTGACCTTACATACGCTATCAACACATCCACAGGGAATTTTTGTCTTCAGTAGTAGTCTGAAATCAGCTTGTTTTTATTTAACAGACTCTATCTCTTTCCTTTCACAGGGTGCTTGGTGTAAATGAATGGCAAAACACAGGGTTTCAGTATGATGTTATCAGCTGTTTGAATTTGCTGGATCGCTGTGATCAACCACTGACTGTTTTAAAAGATATTAGAAGTGTACTGGAGCCAACCAGAGGCAGAGTCATCCTAGCACTGGTTCTGCCATTTCACCCCTATGTGGAAAATGGTAAGTGCACAGCTTAACAGCTGTTTAGGCAGGTAAAGAAAACATTTGTTTTCTTTAAATCAAATTAAATATTTCATAAATGACATGTTTGTATTTGATTTTTTACAAATAACTAGTAGAGGGCATGTTCAAAAGTATGAAATCATAGGTAAATAGGGCACGTGATATAATTTGTTCTGTTAACTCCACAGAATACATTGTTGGCACCAACAAAAAGCTCAAATATTGAAGTCACAGATCCTGTTTTGCAAGTTACCACATTTCAGCTGTGTTGGAGCAACTTGAGAAAACTGGTTCCTGACTGGGGCCTTTTACCTAGAGGTGACCTCAGCTGTCTCTAGTGATCAGTTGAGCAAAATCATCAGAACTATCTAATGCTGAATAGAGCTGTTCAGGTCAGGCTGTTTCTAGTGTTCAGATGAATCCCACCTAAAAATTCATAGGAAGATAACTTTCACTTTTCAACATAAGGTCTCGAAGTAAAATTTAGACCCCTATAAATATGAAGTATCCACAACTATTAATATTGTATTAATTTACATTGTACTAGTAACAGAAATAAAAAAAGTACAATTCAGTGCCAAAACTCAATTATTTACCCTATTTGGATTTTAAAGAAATCTATGAGAGATTTTCAGATGAATCCATCCTTATGACTAAACTTCTAAAGAGACTAGAAACCTCTTTACATGCCTGTGATTGTGGATTCAGGTTGAAGCACTCAGAAGGTAGTTTGAATTCCAGGAGGCTGATGTTCATCAGACATTGTTTTTGTTCTCCTTGAGTATTAAGTATTCCTTGTCTGGAAAGGCTTGGGTACCCAGGAAATACAGAATTAATTATGTTCTGGCAATCACAAATGCATCAAACTGAATCCGTTTTATTCTTATTACGTGCTAATGGTATTTTGATGGGAGATGGGGAAAAAAAGAAGCCTAAGAAATAATGCCATCAGATGAAGATTTACTTAAAATAGAGTATTTGAGCTTGTAATTTTGTAACTATTTTTAAAAGTAGTGTGTCTTAAATTAGATTTGATGTTTGACTTAAGCATCTGTAAAGTATTTCAAGCATATTTGGTTAGAACTTATTGTTCCTATAATGCAGAACAGTATGGCTTCCCCTTGTAGAAATCCTTTAAAATTCCAAATACCAACAATGTCTTTCTAGTCTTTCACTGGCATACTAGAACTAAAAAATGGGAAATCCTTTTTTTTGTGTGCCTTCAAAACTCTGTGCCATTGTGTTAGGCAATCACTATTGCACCCCACATCTACTTTCCTGCATTTTTTTGGGTAGCCCATAGCAGACCATGTACAACTCCCTGGCTCAACAGAAGGGGGTAAGTTAAGGCACAAACTATTCTAAACCTGCTTATATTCTTCATCATTAATCTCCTACCATATACTGGGAGGACAACAGAGAATTAGATTTATAAATCCCAAGGGACTGGAAACCTGTTCTGTGATTGTTAATGCAGTCATTCCTACTTGTTGAAAGTTGAAATGCTGTTGTAAGATGATTTGTAAACCACTGTCATAATTTTATTCGCTATGGTGACTTGGTAGATGAGTCACTTTGCTGAAGGCAGTTTTGGTCCCTTCATATGTTTGAAATTTAAAAACATGCTCAGTTTATCTATTTGCCACTATTATGGATATGGACCCATATAAACTGTTAACAGTGCAGGTTAGAACGCACAAAAGTTACAGCTTTCCTACTAAAGATCAATTTAACTGTGGTCTAAAGATACAGACAACTGCCAGACTGTCTTCATGATGCAAAAACCATTTTAGAATTTCAGTATTTTCATTCAGCTGTTCTACATGATGATGCATTTTAAAAATAGCTATGTACATATGTTTTATATATAACAAAATTATACTTGGAACATTCAAAGAGGAGAACATTCCATGGCTCAAGTAACTTCTTGTAGCAGCTCATTAAAACCAACTTGGACCCATGTAGTGAAACTTTTGAATTTTGTAGAGGGAAAACAAATGGAAAAGCGTCGGGGCAGGTAAGGTGTTTGATCAGTAGTGATAGATCCACAGATAGAAGTGGAGAAATTGTTTTAATCAAAATGAGCTATTTGGGTTATTACATGCAGGATAATGGGATGGTAATGGTGGAAGCTGTCTATGTGAATAACATAAAACCTGCTCTAAGAGAACAAAGCAAGGTGGAGGAGGAATTAAAATACAGATCTGTGCTCACTGTTTGTGGAATGACAGTGACACCTAGAGTCCAGAGGAGCTCAATCACAAATTCTCTGGGGCTTTTCAGTTTTGTTTCAATGTGCAGAACAACAAGGAGTGCAGTTACTGCAGGTGTCTGAATTTGGTAAGAGAGCCTGATGAATCATCAGGTATTAGACTAGTCACTAAGAACAAGTATTACCACAACTTTGGTTTTATAGGTGTCTCATAGAGTCATATAAGAATTATTTGTATTTCCTTATACAGACAGGAAAAGTCTTTATTGGATTGGACATGACTGGACTGGTGTAAGTTTCTCTAAAATAAAAATGTCATGCCATACTTCAGAAGTAGTGAACACTGGGAGCCTGAGAGTGTGAAACTTCCTTGTTGAACATGTTAATATCCTTGTGAGTGATTGACAGGGATGAGAAGGCAAAGGTGTGTATTCTGTCCTCCTGAAATACTTTTAATGGAGCTGGAGACACGGTAGTTTGTTAGATGGACCCTTCTTTTGTTCTCATGTTGCAGAAGTGAGAAATGCCACTTCATTGTTAAACAAAGCCTTGCTCTATTTAAATTATGATAGAAGATGCAGATGTTCTTTGGAAGGGAAAATGCCTGATAGCAACAATACTTTGAAAAAGTGCTGATTTTGCAGATTGCCTAGGTAGTAACTGCTAAAGAGGTACTTTCAAAAAAAAAGGATACTGCCTTTTACTGGATAGTGTAGTTCCTTTTTTGTGCTTGTATCTATGTTGAACAGGCTTGTAAAGGCAATACATGGTGTTCCAGGTGTTCTTGACTTGGGTTGGTGGGATTGGGAGATGGATGTTGTCAGCCTAGCAGGTGAATTTTAGTATTGGAGGAGCAGTGTTTTCACAATGACAGTTACTTTCCTAAATAGGTTTGGAAGATGCTCACATCTGAAATGAGCTTTGCCAAGATAGTGCATGTCTTTATATTGTAATTTTTTTTGCTTGCCTGTCTAATACACAGGCTTTGCTCTGTTTAAACTGTTCTAAGCTCATTTACTGTTGGTCTGTAAATGCTACATCAATAACTATCCCATTAACATGAGCAAATCCAGAATGTCACACATGAAATGCGTTTATTTTCTGTTGCTGTCAATTCTCAAACATCTTTCACAGTTGCTCAATTTGTGTAAAAGGAATACATAAAAGTTTATGTAAAGAGAAAAAAAATAATTAAATCTAAACAAAAAAAGGAAACTTTTATGAAGCATCAGCAGTTATCTTACAAAGATGAAGTTTTTTCCCCAGGGTTCTTGGAAATGGAAAATGGAATATATAACACAGATGTAAGGTACAGTGCACTCGGTTCTGGTGAAATGTTTAGAAAATACTCCCAAATAACACTGCCCTGCAAGGTTTTCTCCTCTTTCTTTAAAGCAAAGGAAGTCTGTGAAGAAGTTTAACTTCCTCACCTGCTCCTTTGCTTGCAGAACTGTTGAACAAATCTGAGGTGCTGCACGTGCTCATCTGTTCTGATAAAGGGTGTCATCTTCCAAATCATCCTGGGGAAAGAAGGGTTTCATTACTGAGGTGATTTTTTTTTTTTAAATAAAGGCAGGATTTATTTTCTGAGGCAAACTCTATCCCATCAGTGTTTCAGTAAAATCCTTTCTCCCCTCTTATCCAGCTGTTTTTGTCCATGGGGTATTTGCAGGCTTCAGAAAACGTTTCTTACCCTGTTGGCTTTTCCTAAACTCCAGGGAGCACAGGGGCAGTAAAACATAGCCCATATTTTTATATCTGATGGTCAAACCAAGGACCAAGTCATGTCAGCAAGGACTTGAAAGCTTTAAAGGGATAATTACAGAGGAAAATGATTGGAGCTGTATGGAAATAAATTAAGTAAAATGTATATGGGAGACTTTGGTCCATGTGTCATTGGGTTCCTCCTTGCATCTCTGAATGATCTCTGTGCTCAGAGTAGGAAAAAATTAACATGGTTTCCCAGGACAAGCAAGATTTTGAAGCCATCTTCTTTGCTTGCAAATACATATGATTTCTAATTTTGTGTGGTTTGTTGTTGTTTGATTTTGTTGGGTTGGCTTTTTAAAAAATAATTTGCATGGCGCATGTAAAATTATTGTCTTCTAAGACTTAATGGCATAAATTTGGAATGATTAAATAAGTTGTGGCTTTACCCAGTGATGTTGAATACTTAGTTTAGGCTCTGTGTGCTGGAGGAAGGGAAATACATTTAAATATATTGCAGAGCTTTTATAATAGTTTTATTATGTTTCTGTCCCCTATTCTGAGTTAATGGAGCAAGAGGAAGTGAAAAAGCAGTACTTTTCAAATATCACCTCTTAATACCTCCAGGCATTTTACCAAACAGTACAGAACCAGACCTCTTCTTGACAAAATACAAATTTATGGCAGTTTTAATTTTAAATGTACATGCATACATTTAGAAAGGTGTGTACACACATGTATAAATATATATATATACACGTAATTGTATGCATATAGCCATTTAGAATGCTTTATATTTTTGACTGTCATTCAGAATACTTTTTTTACATTTCTATCAACTTTAAAGGAAATAGATACAGTAAACTCCTAAAACCTTTTGGTTTGTCCTCTTCCCCATAAATTTAGGTATTGGGAGGTGGATACTCACAGGCTGTTGGCAGTGTCGAGCATATCTCTGCTTTTGAAGTTCTTGAGCAATTGCTTGAAAAACTTTTCGGCCGCTATTTATTTTCTGCAAAATATTTAAAATATTTTGGTTCAGTGCAACATTTTCAGTTGGAAGAAACATCTTTTTCTACCTTTTCTAATTTAGGTTTTTTACCTGTGTATGTCTTTGGGAACGTTACTAAGTAGCATTTTAAAAAGATGGGGTTTGGCAAGTGGAAGGGTTATAAATTACATTATTATTGCAATGCTTAACATATACACCTTCTTTAATGGATTTTTAAATGCATGGCTTCTTTTTATACAAGGATACCTAGTGGTGGAGGTTGTTAATTAATAACAAAATCTGTTATTGTCGTAAGTTTGAACAAAATTTAGTTAAAACCTAAAGGAAACAGTGTGTTAGAAATGGCTTTTACAGAGATTAACTTTACCATGCATCCATTGTGCAAAAATAAATTACCTGATTTGTTAAAATTAGTTAAATATGAATTGATAACTAGTTTTGTACAAATCTAAAGTGAAGCCTTAGCAGCTCAGAATGTTTCTTTAATGGAATCATCAATTATAAATTTGATGTCAAATATACTTTAAAAAGACAAGAAGAAGAAGCTGAATCACAGACAAAGCAAATAACATGGTAACATACACAGTTCTCTGTTGTTTGGTCTTTCCCATATTTCTTTAGCAGCTTTGGTTTTAACTGGAGGGAGGAAAAATAAATGAAAAAGCAATTAAAATATAAGATGAGAAGGTAGCAGAGTAGTTAAAATTGTTGCCCTTTTTCAGTGTCAGTTTGTAGGTAAATGTCTCACTAGATCAGCTTATACCATTGGAAAAATCAGAGGTTTTCACATGTGTGAAGCCTTTTACAGCTTCTGGTTGTGGCTAGTGCAAGTGGTTTTGCTTTGAGCACAGTGGGACTTGCTTGAAACACTACTTAATTCTCAAAAATAAGCCAATGGCATCACAGATCCAGTTTTTCCCCTGAAGAAGACTTGTTTAATTTTTCCCACTGTACTCTTCACTCTGTAACTTTATTTCTAAAGAAAAACAAAAATGAAAAAGCCAGTCCTGTCTTTATGGTTAGACAGTAGTCACTATAGGAAAGAGCCATTTTACCATACCAGTAAGGACTGTGAAGTCCTGATTCTCCAAAGTCTTGTTATCATGTAGAGATTCCTGTTATAGCTCTGTGTTTGTTTTTATCTAAACACAAATTTTAGTCTAGATTTTAAAAAAAGCATTAATTACATAACTTTAAACCACGTGCATTGTAATGGGTTTGTTTCTGTGAGCATAAAACTTCTCCCAAGTCTCTGATATTTTTTTAATTTTACCAAGGCTTTCTATGTACATATATGAAGAGAGTCGGTAGACAAGCGAAGTCAGTCTGCAGTAACTTCACTGCAGCTCATAAATACTTTTATGTGAATTTAAATTATTTTACTTTTACTGGAAATTTGTACTCTTTGGATAATTTAAACTTCAGAATACCTTTTTATTTAGACACTTTACTGATAAAAGAAAATGTGGTTGCTGTTGAGAGTCCAGGTGCATGCCACACAGGAGTTAACAGATGTGTGTGTGCAGCACATGGACTTCAACCAACCTCCTCTTTAAAACTTAACCATAAGAGTTATGAAATCCAGAAATGTGTTTTTATTCCCCTTATGGAGATGTTAAAACTGCATCGATTTACAAAATGAACAAAACCAGAAAAATCTCTTTGAGCCTACCTTGTAGACCACAAAGGAAGTGAGCACAGCAGAGCTGTACAGGAACAGTAAGGACGAGACAATGATCATGGAGATGAGTTTTCCGTTGCTGTGCTGCTTCTCTGATCCTTTGTTAAAAGTTCGTGTTAGAATAAAGGGCAATTCTGATTCACATAATTTTTTAAGACTCTACATTCCAGCTCCCTTTCTCTGAGGAATTAAAAAATCATATACTATCAATATTTTTCTGGTTAGTTTTCAGTCTAAATTCATTAGTGAGATAATTTTCCTTTTGTTTGCTCATATGTTTGCAAGGGCAATGGAGACCTGTAAATCTTGATCACAAACCTTTCCTTTAAGGGTAGAGAGTTTCTACTCCTGTAAAGGTATATTTGAATAAAGCTCATAGACTTCTGTTCAGAAATGGAATTATAGAAAGGAAGGAATATAAAGAAAGTAATAATCCAGCTGAGTATTTCTGGGGGGTTTTTTTCTTTTTCTGTTTTAGGCACGTAAAACTGAAATGTAGTTACTGAAGTTCCATCACTTTCTTAACTAAAAGGCAAGGCATACAAAGGTTTGGAACATTTTTCTCAGGCTGTCAGAGAAAATCCCCATGTCTGAGGCCCTGCACTCTCTTGCATGTACTTCTACTAAATGTTGGTTTCTCTACTTCCCTTTTTTTTGTTGATACTTCTTTCTGACAGCCACAAAAGTCTCTATGTAAGAGGATGTAGAGTGTGGTTAGACAGCACTAATGCAAAACTTCTTTCTTTTGTGGAATTCTAGAGTCATCTTCATCATATGACAGGATAGCCTAATTAGAAAATGAGGTTGATATGCTTATTTGTGGAATCCCTCTGGTTTTACTAACCACATTTTAATATAGCCATACTACTCCTAATGGGTTTGTTGATATTTCCATCTTAAATGTCATTCTTGAAAGTATAAATAGATTATTTAGAAAAGATAATTTATTTCTTCTGAGATACTTCATTAAGAAGGAATGAACCACTGACCTGTTACCGTTAGTACTGTTCCATCTCCTGTTTGTTTAGAAAGGGGTGAAACTGAGTCTGAGAATGCTATTCCACAGATATAAACAGCGCTGTCATTTACAGTCAGATCTTTTATCTCAAGTAAGATGTTATCTCCTGATGAACGTACTTTGTACTTCTGATTGTCTGTGCATCCAGGAGTACACAAATCCTGATGTATATTAGTTAAATAGCGAAACCACAGAACTTCAGGCTGGGACGAGGAGCATCCAGAGGCAGAGAAGGTGCATGGTAGGGACACAGTGTTCATGGAGGAGTCAGTTTGCTGAGACCTGGGCTGTGTTACAGTGACTCGGCAGGGATCTGCAACACCTGTTGGGAAGGAACAATTGGCGATGTGAGGGACAGCTAAAAAGCAAGGTACAGTCTGAAAAGAAAAAACAGCTACTGGTTCATTCAAGGAAGGGTGGGAGGAAAGGAAGAAACCAACTGAGTTTCAAACTTGAAATTATTAAGGTTGGTTTCAGCTGACTTTGTTTTTAGATAGTTCCTACAGCTTGCACGTGTGCTTATTTAACACTTTTATCTACAGGGTAATGTGCTTGGCTTTCTATATTTTGACCAAACAGAGAAGATTGATAGATCTGAAGCAATGTGAATGTTTCCTTTGGCACTGGAGAAGACCAGAAGAATACTTTGTGCAGATCTCAACCTAATATTTAATCTTGCATGTTTGTGGGGTACTGGCCATTGGGGATGGATGTTGTGTGACATAAGTGCAGTTGCTCGGTGGAGCAGTTCTGCAGGACTTTCTCTTTCTTCCACTGTTCCTGGTCTGAGTCAAGCCAGACAAGCTGAAGGTAGGAAGTGGAAATGTCATAAATCAAGACATTTATAATTTAGCATCTTCATAACATTGATTAGAATTCACAATAGTTCCTAGACTTCTTCCACTTCATCATTTATATTGACTCTGAGTTTCTAAGAATAATAGTGCTTGTTAGTTCTGACATTTTAAAATGTGTGCAGAGAAAACAAGAAGGTTAATCAGAGAAGAGCATTCTAATTAAGGAACTAAAATGTGTGGTTTAATATGACTAGTCTGAAAGGTTTTTTTAAGTCCTTCTTGAAATCCATGTGAATTCTGGTTTAGTATATTTAATTTTATTCAAATAAATAGTGTAGTTATTTAAACTATGGCATTGAGGTTATTGTAGTGAGAATAAAGGTAGTAGCTAAATAACATCCTTTTCTGCTTGCCAGAAAATAACAAACTGGAAGATGAAGAACCTAAAATATGTTGATGTACTGCTGATACACAATTTGTAAACCGTGATCCTGTCCATGGTGAACAATTAGTATTGTCCCTTGATAATTTTTCTTACTAAATCCAATTAGATTCAGTGTCTGTGACTTTTACAGGAATAAAGTAAAACGGATTCTGTGTCAGGTCCATATCAGAGCCATTCCACAGCAGCTACAGCAATCTGAAGATTGTTAAGCTGTGGGTGTACTTGCACCTTGTGTGGTGAAAAGCAGTAGCTTGTGCTTCTGCAGCTGATCCCCTTCTCTTTTCCCCCTTATCCACAGGCTCTGGTGTCCTTGCAGAGCAGAACTCCATGGCCTCAGGTCATAGAGGTGCTGCCTGCTGAACTTCCCAAACCCTCCTCCCAAGCAAACACAGTTGCTTTGAAACCAGGCTGCTGCTGGAGTGTTCCAAGCAGGGAAATGCAGCAGGATTTGACCCAGAAATCACAGGTTACAGCAGAGTTTCAGACTTTTGGAAGAAAAAAGCATTTTCTAGCCGTTGTGTACTTCAGAAATTACATGACGATAGCAGAAATTAACTTGATTTTCAGCAAAACTTCTCGCTGCTTTTATTTTCTAGCTGTATTGCAAATCATAACCATAAAATTCTCAGTCTTGTTTAACTGCTGTAAAATGAGAAAATGTAAGAAATTTTTTTAAAAGTCTTACCAGCACCATACAGGATCCAGTCAAACGCCAGTATTAGCAAATTTTTTAATTTGTTGAAAGATGCCATTTCTTGTATCTCTGTGGAAATGAATCTTCTTAAAGGAAGAGGAACTTAGGAAATGTTTAGGCTTGCAGAGCTGTCTTAATCACAAGATGTAGAACTTCCTGTTTAGAAGGGTGTTTACCACTGCGTTTAGCAAACTGGTTAAAGCTACAGACCAAGCCAGAAAACTTTTGTTTCTTGTGGATGATGTGACTTGGAAAATGAGTCAAGAACTTTAAACTTTGAATTCCTGAGAGCTGTACCTCTAATCCTTCAGATTGTTTCATTGGGTATAACAAATAACAAGACATTTTCCAGCATGCTGCTTAATCAGCTTCTTTATATGACCCTAAGCAGCCTTTAGCAGATCAGCTGGTAGGTGGCCACTGAAGGCACAAAGTAGCCATCCATTGTAATGTGGTGATCTGCTGGTGAAAGCTTCACAGCAAAGCATAATTTTCAACTTGCTTGTAATTACCTCTGTGCCTGTCTGCTGGACACCAGCCTTACTAATGGCAGTTACCTTTACTCCTGGCACTTCTAGTTAAAAATGTAACAAAAGATAACCTCAAAGAAGCTGCTTTTGAACAGCAGGGATAAACTGGAACTGGTCTTGCAACAGGTCTACAAGTGACGTGACAACCTCCTGTGTGGAGTGGAATGGAACATAGTGTAATTATACTTTCTGTAAGAAAATGCAGCACACAGTGAAGTTTTCTTTATAACTGAAACAAAGCTGTTCTGTTTTCTCAGTAGGTGGCAAGTGGGAAAAGCCCTCAGAAGTTTTGGAAATCAAAGGGCACACTTGGGAAGAACAGGTGAACAGCCTGCCAGAAGTTTTCAGTAAAGCTGGTTTTGCCATCGAGGCTTTCACCAGACTGCCCTACCTCTGTGAAGGTGACATGTACAATGACTACTACGTGCTGGATGATGCTGTCTTCGTCCTCAGGCCAGTGTAAGCCTGTGTGAAGTAAAGCTCCACAATCTAACCCAAGAAGCAGCCTCTGAAAGAGGATTTTGATTTATGGTTACTTAAAGGGAGGGAATTTTGGGATTGCCATGCTAAGTAAATATCATGTAAGAAATTTAAAGGCCAAAATACTAATGTATTTCTTTGTAGTGTAATTAGGGGGGGGAAAGGTTGTTTTTTAAATGGACTCCTCAGCTGAGAATTTCTTTTTTACCAGCTCTTAAACCAACATTGCATTCTGCAATCCAGCAGCAATGTGGGATATTTTTTTATACTTACCTGCAACAGGGATCATATCCAAACAAAAGCAATAGTCTTTATAATGGTGAAATTGATACAGTGTGAACTGTTGTGAAAGAAATCCACTAAAATCTGGCAATAAAGTTATCCATTCAGTTCAAGCCTTGTTGAATAAAACTGTTGAAATGGATAATCTTCCATGCTAAGTTACTTTCTCTCTTACTGTCATTCTTCACGTTTTTAATCATGCTAATAAACTTTTTTGAGATGACTTTTGCATTAACTTTTGTGTTCATTTTTGTAACTATAGCCATGCTTGTCTGTAGCAGCTGCTCTTTTTGTTGAGAATCAAGCTTTCAGTAGCAGTACAACCTTGCATTTATTTAAATAGCATTTAATTATTGTTTTATGGGATAACAGTGCACAAAAGATGTTACACTTTTGGTTGGGTTTCCTTCACGTTCTTCCCTGTCAAAACCTCATAATTCCTCGTTGCTTTTGCATTTTCCATTTTCCAGCAAAAGGGGTTACAGCAGAACGTGTTAAAACTGCATTTTAAATTAATGGCATTAAAAACAAACTCTCTAAGTTGTTGCCAAATGTTTTCAGCTTTAAAAAGTTGCAGGTGCTTTCTTGCAGATTTCTTGTGTCAAACAGGCTCTGAGGGTCAGGCTGTAGGGGCTTGAGAGTTTAGCTAGCTTGAGACATTTTTCTCACTAAATAAACGCTGTTTATTTTAATATGTCTTGTTTTAAAAACTGTTTAAGTGGATAATTTCTGGCAGTTGGGATATAACTTGCCTTTAAAACAACTAGAGACATCCTAACTAGTACAAACCTGGCAGGTGTATGTCATGCAGTGCTTGGGTTGCAAGTGTGAGAGAGCAGAAAGACCTCAGGTAAGTAAAGCAAGAACTGAATTCTGTTGCTTTTGGAGTCTAAAATTGTCTGTTGTAGGGGTTTTTGTGGTTTTTATAATTATTGGTGATTTTATGCCAGGTAGGATGCTTAACATGTCATTTTAGGTTTACCTCAAACTTACTTTGCCTGATGGTTAATGATTGCTCCTGCCAATTTATTAGCTTTTCATTGTCAGTCATCTTTGTGGAATAGTACTATGTATATGGGGCCAGGGATTCGACTGCTGAAATTTCAAATTGCTTTTCAACAGTAATTTAGTCTCAGTGTTACTCTCATTTCAGGATATGCTGTTGCATTTCAATGCATAGTGTAATCAGATTTGTCTGTTGGGAAAATGATCTATGTCTGCTCTGGAGTGAATCCATTAATTTATCTTCTGCTACCTTCATTTTGTACTCATCTAATAGTGGGAAAATGTTTTTTAATGTGTCATGAATTTCGGTTAAGGTAGCAAATATATAGTAAGACAGATTTCTTCAAAGGTACTTAAGTGTTCTAATCCCACATGTTAAAAATTGCACAAGAGACTACATTTCATGTCTCTCATCTTTTAGTCCCATCACTGAGGATTTCAGTTTGTAATGGCTTTGAGAGGTTTGGGAGCAGAAGGTGCAGTGTAAATAATAGGGTTTTTTTCTCTTTCTTTTGATTTTCTACTTTGTTCACTCTATTTAACCAAGTGTTCTTACACTTGAGAGGAGGAATTAAAACATGACCAGTAATGAAGAAAATCTTTCTACAAAGCCTAAATTCAGCAAACACATGCTCTGTCCTGTTGAATAAACAGAATAACCCCTAGGACTGTACCTACATCTGCATTTCTAAAGCCAGAGTTCCTTGGGAGGGAAGGGACTTCTTTCCTCCCTGCAGCCCCTGAGAGTGTTTGTGTGCAGTGATGCTCACAGCCCTCAAAGAAACTCGAGTCCAGCAGTTCATTAAATGGCCCCAAATACTCTAAGATGCCATCTAAGGGAACAAGTGTTGCAATTCCAGTGTCCAAATCCATTACTCCTGGGTTTGGGAGCCCTGCCTTGTCCTGCTGTCGCTGTCCTGCTGTGGGTGACTGTCCATCCAAGCTGCACTTCAGTGCTTTCATGTGCAGCGTTTTGCCCTGGAGAGTGACTAAACTGTTCTGTTCTGTTCTGTCAGGGTGGAGTGGGTGTGTTGCACTGCAGGAAAACGATGCTAGCCAGAAACTTTCAAAGCAAAGTTGGAACAGCTTCATCCCTTCAAAAAACACAGCCTCCTTTTGCCATGAGGTGATCCCAGGTACAATCAGTTCATACTCTGCTTGGGCTGGGGAGATGGCGGAGCAGGGCAGTGCCAGCCCTGTGCTTTCCCTGCACGGCTTGTTGGGGTTTTCCTCGTGTCGGGGCAGGAGTGTCCCCTCGTGCTGCCCCGGGAGGGCCGGTCCCGGCGGGGGAGCCTTTCCCGCCCGCCCTGAGGGCCGGTCCCGGCGGGGGAGCCTTTCCCACCCGCCCTGAGGGCCGGTCCCGGCGGGGGAGCCTTTCCCGCCCGCCCTGAGGGCCGGGCTGTTGTTGGGGCTGCAGGGCGGCGCTGGGCCCGGCTCCTCTGGGCCTGGCTCGGCTCGCAGGGTCCCGGCTCCTGCACTGCGGGGCGGAGGCGCACACGGCTGAGGCAGGTAAAGCGCTCTGGGCTCCTGGCTCTCCTTCCCTTCTCCTGCCCGCACCCCCTGCGGCTTCCCACACTGCATGCGGTGCTTTTTCTCCGAGCCCGGGTGCGAGGGAAAGGTGGGCACCGGCAATTCAAGGGATTATCAGCGGGACTGGTGATTGTGAGGTCAGTTTTCTGGTTATCGAACTTCAGATAAGGCAGCGACTGCATGGAGTGAGTGATAAAATGTCTAGGATTTCTGTACATGGAAGGGTGGCTGTTCTGGGAGCGAGAAGAGAAGGCAATCTGTGAGCTTGTCATAAGCAAGGGTGACTTGTCAGAGATCTCATCACAGCGAATGCAAGGAATGATCTCCGGGAAAATGCTGGATGGGATCTGCAGGAGATCCCCACGGCGGGATTTGAGACTGTCTGGAAGTTGCTGTGAGCTGCAAACCGAGCTGTTTCACTCAAACGCACTTCTTCATCCCATAGATTGTCTTGCTAAATAAGGCTGTTTCACAGCAGACCTTTCTGTGCTGATTGTCTGCTTGAGTTAGTCCGGATGCAAAAAGCACTTTCCTTAGCATTTAATCTCTTATATATTAAGTTAGCATGCTTTAATTAAAATACACTCCCTGATCAAAGTGAATGGATTGGAATAAACAAATCAGGACTGAAATTGGAAGCATGATTTATCCTATGCAGAGCAATCGAACCTTACTGCAAAATTATTCGGGCACAGGCAGAAACAAACACAAGTAAGTTCATTGTCTAGGAAACCAGATACATCTGAATGAGAGACATTTACTGTGGTGCTCCCAAAAGAGTAGCTGAAAGGGGTTTCAGTGTGTGTAGAATAGGACAGAGGTAATAGCTTCTTAAAGTCTAATGTTTAGATTTTTCATCATTTGTCAGTTTGAGTCACTCCTGTTACAAGAGTGGAGTTAAATATTTTCAATAGACTGAGGTATTGCTGGAGGCTTGTTGAAAGATATTTTCATAAAAGAGTACCTTGGTACATGAGATTAAACAGTCCAAAAAAGGTGTCATTTATCAAATATTCAGATCTGTAACATAAGCCGTGGCAGAGAACTTCGAGGGGGACAAAGAGAGAGTGAGCACAGAATTCAGCAACAAAAAGAAAGGCAGAAATTCAGTGTCTTGCAAATGAACCTTTGAAATGAGGGAAAGGGAGACAAAACCTAAGAAAGTTTCTTTATGATTGGAGCTAAGTTGGCTAATGGGACCCTCCGTGTCATTTTTTAAATCAGGGACTAATCCTGATATAAGCTGCAATCAGTGGATCAAGGCATCATCTAATGTCTCAGTTTAATTAGTTGTTTTACCTGTGGGGGTGGTGATTCTCAGGCTGAGCAGAGGGCCATGTTGAGGGTGCAGAGGCAGAAAATTCTCTTTGCAGTGTGGACTGAAGCAGCTGACAGCCCTCAGAGCTGTGGAGAGGACGTGGCTACAGAAACTCCTGTGTGAGTGAAACCTGCCCAGTCTTTGCTTCCTTTCCACCCCATTGCATTGCTGCTACGTGTATC